TCTTTCTTTCTTTCTTTCTTTCTTTCTTTCTTTCTTTCTTTCTTTCTTTCTTTCTTCTTTCTTTCTTTCTTTCTTTTTCTTTCTCTCTTTTCTTTCTGCAAGTGAGTGATCTGGTGGGAAAAGTAACCTCATTGTCACATGTTCCCTAATCATTATCATCTGCCACCACTCTGCACTCTTCAGCATTTTTCCAACAATCACCAGAACTGGTGTGACTGAGATACATTAATGTGACCAAGTGACCTGGTGAAGACTTGTGATACCTTTCTGGTTTCTTGTGATAGGTTATTAGCAATGATAGTAGCAGAGTTTCTTTCTTAGAACTCTTTTTTTCTTTTATCAATTACTTTTTATAATTCTTTTTCCTATTCATTAAGTTTATTGGTAAATTTTAGGTATACAATATGATGATATTCAATTTGTACCCTTATGTAATCTATCTTGTTTTTTTTTTATTTCCCCCATTCCCCTGCCCTCCTTTCAACCCCTCCACCCCTCCTTATTTATACAAAGACCGTTTCCGTGTTTTCATTTTCTAACATTAATTCCATTACCTTCTTTTGTTTTCCCTACCCCTCTCACTTCCCCTTCCCCTTTGCACCTTTTCTTCCTATTTCACATTATCTACTATACATTTTGATCCTTATTTACAATTTCAGTTTCTCACATCAGACTATTCAGTATTTACACATGTGTGTATTATTTATTTCACTTAAGAGTATGACCTCAGTTTGCATCCATTTAGCTATAAATGTCTCTAGTTTCTCATCCTTTATGGCTGAGTGGTACTCCATTTTATTTTTTTAAAACACCATGTCTTTATATAGTCTCCAGTTGATAGGCAGTTGGGCTGCTTCCAAGTTTTAGCTATTACAAACTGTGCTGTTTTGAACATGGGTACACATATATCACTGTGTTATGATTCTTTTTCATTCTTTGGGAAGATACCCAGCAGAGGAATAGATGGGTCAAATGGGACCTCTAATGCTAGTTCTTTGAGGTATCTCCATACTGATTTCCACAGTGGTTGTACCAGGGGACATAGTTGGGAACCTGTCCTAATAATCCAGTCTTACTGAGATCATTCTTAGTGAATTCAAGTCATAAATAGAGATGAAATCAGCACAATGACAGAGGTAGGGGAGGTACTGTCACCTCATTGAATGTAGGTGACAAAGAAGGAAGAGAAAAGAACATCCAGAGACTTTGATTTCAGCTGATGAATTGGACTATGCTGAAGAGAAAAATGGAGGAATCCTCCTTCCCCATGGCCCTCTCACCCTCTCTTCATTTAGAATTGATGCAGAGATTCCCAATGAATGCCAGGCTGAAGTGTTTCATGGAGGCACACATGGGACATTCAGAAGAGTCTGAAAGGATAAAAAAGAAAAGTTTGCTTTTGTCTCTCTGCAGAAGAACTTTGCTCCTCCGTGGAGGAGAAATTTGAGCCATGTATTTTTGGTTGGTACAACTTTAAGTGTTCTGTTTGATAGCAGAGTTGTTTGAATGGCCTATTTCATAACTATACATAGCTTTTCCAAATAAATGGTGTCTGTAGAATGTTCAGGTTAATGCATGAGTCCAGTGCTCAAATGTGTTTGTGCTTAGAGCGACTGAACCTTCTTTCTTAATAAGTCACCTTGGCATTTTGTCAACAAGTTAATTTGCTTTTCTAAGAAACTAGATTAATACTTCCTGTGCTTTGTGCTATTCACAGATCTACAATGCAGTGAGAAGAGAAGAAACAGAAGGTACAGTTGGATCTCTTCTCCATTTCTTCACAAAGCTCCTAGCCCCTGGGACAGTCCAGGCAAGGATTAGCTTTGGTCCGTGCTTGAAGCAGTGTATCCAAGATACTGTATGTGAGTTTCGTGCCACCCTCCAGAGGACTTCCATATCTCAGTACGTCACTGGTTCTCTCCTGGAGGCAACCACATCTTTAGGAGCAAGAAGTGGTCTTCTCAGTACTTTCGGAGGATCCACTGGACGAATGATGCTGAAAGGTAATGTTCAAAATGTCACTTTTAACTTTTCACCTTTGCTTTAGAGAAGAATCTAAGTTAACATTTATGCATCTCTTGATGGAAAATTGAGTTTGTGTATGAGCCACCTTAAGTCAAAATAACTACTTTGGGATAATACAAAAGACAGTCCCTATTAAAATTCTTTTAGGTTATAACATTCCAAACAGTAAGCACTAAGATGTTTGAAGTTTCTTTTTCAAAAGAAATGAATGGTTAAAATGCTGTCTATAATTTTTTAAAGTATTCAGGCAGGTGGCTTCTCCTAGTGGTATTCATGGCAGATGTCAGTACTGTGACAAGGTACTTATAAATAAGCATGGTCATGTGGTCACCTTGAAAACTACCAGTGGTTGGGAACAGAGTGAAACATAGATCTCCTTCAAACACAGAACCAGTATGTTGCTATTGACCAGAAAAAGTAAAGACTATATTCCAGTGACTCTTAACAAGATAGGTAGGCATAATGCTTAAATATAAAAGCCAGTGGACAATAGGGTCCTCAGCGTCTGTACAGCTATCACAAGCCACTTGGCTGACTTCCCTGGCAAGAAGCTACCAGCCAGACAGGGACGATGCAGAGATGCATTCCTTCCACTACCTGGGAGCTGCCAAGAGCTCCAGCTGATATCAGCAGTTTTTCTCAAGAAGAGTAGCTATTATCCCACCACAGCGAGCCCTGATCCCAGAGTCAGCAAGCCAGTGACCTTCCTCCTTGATCCTCAGCCTTTCCCATGCCGCCCATACACCTGCCAGCAGACCTAAGAGAGATGCCACCACCTCCTGGTTCTGTGTTGGTGACAGGTTGGTTTGTTTCATAAAATCCCCTTAACTTTTTGGCATTTTTTAAAAAAATGATGAAGAAAATCATACAATATGTAAACACCAATCCAAGAGACTAATGGGGAGAAACTTGATGTCATCTATTCAGTATACAAACTTTTAATGTCCTTCTTGTTTCTGTGTGCTAAGAAAATAAAAGAAAAACATAATTCCTGCCCTCAGGAGCTTACAATCTCTAGGTGGTAGACAGGTTTCCCTACACACGAGATCCAGTTTCCCCATTCTGATGCATTCTCCAGAGAATGGCAGGCTTGCGTTCTCTATCAGTGCTCTTCCAAGGAAGCTGAGCTCAGATTAGCATGAGGAATTTGTATTCCTTAAGTGCCTGTTACTGTATGCCAGGACCTCATCCTGGAAGCTCACCAACCTGGCTTATCAGATACCCACAATGGACAGCAGAGCTCATGTGTTATGGGAGATCCTATTGAAGTATTAAGTCAATTTAAGCTATTAACTAGAAGGCAGATTTTCATGCACCAAGTAATCAAAGAATACAGTAAAACTGCAAAGAGCCAAATTTGTGGAAGTGACTATAAGTGTTCAAAGGGTTTGAAGAAGGAGTTGATGTTCTATATGATGGCTTGTCTTGAAAAATGAGGCTTCAAATAAGCGAGTCAATCCAAGCTACTTTGTTTCTTCTCTGTGAATTTGCTAAAGGGACAGATCTCTAAGATCCCTAACCAAAGTAGGCATCTCTCGATTCTTCTACAGACCTATGGGAAGAAAGAAAGGTCCTTAGACTCTGTTTCTGTTTCTTTAATAGTAATTTAATCATGATTGCTCTTTGCCTTCCCTGTTCAGAGTACACCACAGATCAATATTCATAGCTAAGATACTCACCCAACCATCGCATAATTTATGATCTTTCAATTATCATTTTAAGCAAGAGTTGAGGGTTTCTTTAACATTCTGTTTTTATCTCTTTAATCGTTTCTAATGACTGTACAAGTTGGCTTGTTGTCGTCTTCTCTGGGCTTATTTCTGCAGCTCCTAGCTTGTTTTCCTAGAAACCATTTTCAACCTCAGTGTCTCTCCCAACTTCAGGGACTTCTTCAAAGTCTTTTTGTTCCATAGTTAAACATATCTTTCTTACTATGTAGTGGGGAAAAAATACAGTTAGAAAAACCAGGTAAGTTTCTGATCAGAAAAAAACATAAATATGTGCAGTGATGTTTCTGTTAATTAGCTTGACTGAGCCATCCCACAATGTAGATACATTTCAGAACATCATATTGCACACAGTAAATGTATACAGTTCTTTTAAATTAAAAAACAGATAGGATTTCCAAGTCACAAGATATGCACAGAATCTGTATAGTCAAGCTTGTGAGTCTTGAATTCTGATGGTCATGTGCCTGTATACTCTACTGGGCAATCTGGACGAAGTACTGGCTCTTATGATTTGGTTGGCCTTCTTTACTGTTCAGTATATATCTTTTGGCATAAATTTGGTTGATAGCTTTCAGCTCTGAATTGCTAGTGAAAGTCTGTGAGGAGTTTCTAAGACACGCTTTCCAATTTATAAGTGAATTGTGCTCTAGAAATTCCTTTCTCAGGAGCTGTTTAGAATTTACAATACTCGCCTGGGGAAACAGTATTAAAGGTGACTTGGTTCCCAGAGTCTAGTCTTTAAAAATCCCTTTAACTCATAACACAGGTAAAATTTTACATACTTATCATAAAATGAAGAGAGGCAACAGTACTATTGAAATGTTGAGCATCAGCCTCCAGTAAAAAAGCAATATAAGAGAGTTAAAAGATATTTTTGCTGCAGGGAAATACTATTAATTGAAGGTGAGTAAAGAGTTAATCTGGAGCCCGAGATTTAGCCCAGTGGTTCCCACTGCCTGCCTCACAAGTGCAAGGTCCTGAGTTCGATTCCTGATAGTGAAAAAAAAAAAGAATTAATGTAAAACTTTAATAGTGACTGAAAAGAATTTTTAGCCATTTCATGATTTTAGATGTTGGAAGCTGTAGTTCTTTGTTATAGTTATTTCTACTTTCAGACTCATATGAAAGAATCAGAAAATTATCCCAAGTATGTTTTTTTCTTTTTAAAAAATGAGATGCTTATAAATGAAATTAAGGACAAGAGGAGACAGCACATGATCTTAAAACTATTTCCCAGAGAGAAAGGGAAAGGAAAGGGTCAAAAGGATGACCTCTTCTATGGGAGAAATCATGTTTGAAGTCCATTAAATGGAATTGGGAAAGGTAGACAGAAAAGGGGGGAGACAAATCTTATGATTCCATTTATATGAGGCACTTATAATAGTAGAAATCATGGAGACAGAAAGTAGGATGGTGTGAAGAGCTAGGATAAAGGGGAAATGTGAGTTAGTGTTGAAGGATATCAAGTCTCAGTTTTTCAGGATGAGCATTCTGGAGATGGATAGTGATACAACCATGCAAATGTCTGTAATACCAATTAACTGTGTGCTTAGAAATGCTATGATGGGAAATTTTGTTTGTAGTTAGCCACAATGAAAAAGAAATGAAAGGAAAAAGAAGGTCTTTCATCCCAAGTCTATTATGAGGTTAGAAAGAACTGAGGAATTTGTCTCCTGAAAATGGTAAAGATCACAACTGTTCTGCAGTGAGTACAAATAGGGGGAAAGAATGCCCAGCCAGTTGATCATTATCCCCAGGTCAGGAGTTGGTAACTCAAAGCTTGATTGTCCAGAGTTTGCAGCTTTACAGTCTGTGGGGTGGTACAGGCAGACAACCAACAAATCAAAACATAAACTACCTGGTTTTCTGTATTCAGGGATACCAAGGATGGTCTTTGTATTAAGCTGAAAGTTCCCCAAATTATTAGAAACATTTTCTAATATCAAATATTGGATAGCCAGGTGTGCCTTTGATTACAAGAGTGTGCTATCTCCAGTGGAAAAACTGAGTTTACCCCATCTGGTAAGGGACTTCCACCAGTTTAATAGAGATATGCTTTTCTGACTTCCTGTTCTCTTCTTCCTCTTCCATTAACTTTGTCAGAATCCTGGGACTGGAATAATGTAGCAGCGACAGTCAGAAGAATTATTGACTTCAATAATCAAGAAAAAGCAAGATAGGGCTGGGGATTTAGCTCAGTGGTACCGCCACTTGCCTCAGAAGTGCAAGGGCCAGAGTTCGATCCCGGTACCAAAAAAAAAAAAAAAAAAAAAAAAAAAAAAGAAAGAAAGAAAGGAAAAAGCAAGATAAAGGGAAAGGAAAGAGAAAAAGTGAGATAATTAGATATAAAGAACTAAAATGAGAGGATTTTTCAAATAATGCAGCTAAGTGTTCTCAAATGTGCATATGTTACTAATGAACACAACATATTTGATGCATTAAACACAGTATTTTACTCCTCATATTCTGCTGAGTAAAATTTGTAAATTAACGGGTTAAATATTACATTAAGGGGTTAAATATTTCAATGCTTCGTTACCCATATTTAAATTGTGTAGTGGAAAATAAAACTCCACTGTTCACTTGTAACATGTTTAAGTATGTGTGATGTGTATAGAATAACTATATTGAAGCTTCTGGTAATATGTAGACTGTAATTTAGCATACTAATACGAAAACAAAATGTTCCTTAAACATTTAATATTCTTATTTGAAATTAGTGAATATTTTGCTTCTGATAGAAAAGTGTGATGATGTTCCAACTTTTTTTTTCACTGCACTAAGTATATCCTGTTTGTGTCTTTTTCTAAAATTAACAGGTTTAATATAAAAATAGAAATCACAGTCAAAATACATACACACATTTAAAATTAATTACTATACTTTATAAATAATTTAGTTTATAATAGCTGTCTTAGTTAACTTCCCTATAATCAAAATAATTACCCTTTACATGCCTACCAGACAAGGAAGGCACATGCATAGTTCTAATTCCAAGATTTGTTTATTTAAAGAAATACCATTATTTATTAGTTTTTGTCATGTTGAAATTATTTTGGAGTATTAAGTATGCTTTAATGTAATACTGTATTGTTTCTGTGTCACTTAATCAACTAAGAAATACTCACTGGTTGCCCAGTGTAGTCTTGTGCTATGTCACCTATGGAAAGAATGCAAAAGACTATATTTGGAAGTCTTCACCTTGTAAAATAGTATTTCTCATTCCAGAGGAACTGTAATATTAGGTT